TTTTCTGAGGAGCTCTGCACTCCTGGGAGCTGCCAGATGACGGCCTCGCCCTCCAGGCAGTCTGTGTTCCAAGCCTGCTGTCACCGGGGCCTCATGGTGGTGCGGACAGTGATAGAGAAGGACTGCCTGGTGTGGGGGCTGGAGACCAAGCTTAAGGGAAAAGGGAGCCCTTTAAGGCAGCAGGTTGGAGCCTTTAGGAGGGTTCCAGTCACCAACAATGAAGTTCGTTACTTACTGGATTAGTCTTTTAAGAGGTCCTAGAAGTTTCTGACTGCGTTTTGGGTAGGATGCCCATTGAAAATGCTTTGGGGAGGATTCAGTGATGAGACCCAAGGGCAGCCTCTCTAGTGTGGACCAACTAGGATGAGCTGGGTAACAACATCATGTAGAGAACGTAGATTTTTCTTTTCTTTTTTTCTAATTCCATAAGGTTCTTAGGTTAGCCTGGGTCTGGTAGTGTGTGCTATATGCTCAGGTTTCTTGGCAGTGGTGGGGGCATGGAAAGTGGCCAAACATGCAAGTAAGAACTCTTCTTCCCTGCTGGCTGCTGGCTTAAGTGGTGTTAATGTCACGGTCTCCCAAACAGCCCATGAGGAGAAACATATAATCTACATGGACTGATTCCAGCTCCTCATTCCCCAGAGGTGCTCATTAGAAGGGACCTTTCTTCACCAAGCAAACCACCACTTCATAGTTGAGGAAAGGTATGTAATAAAACCTTTGTGGGGTGTTTAAAGCACAGGGAAGACCCTTTATGGGAGCTGGGCTTTGAGTGTGTCAAAGCGTCAGAAGCTGGCGGTTCCACCCATCAGGTATGTGGTTCATCATGAGGACGAGTTTGGGCAAGCCTGAGAGGGAGAACCGTGCCCTTCCGGCTTTAGACGAGGCTGTCTATGGTGGGATTTTAACTGGGGGCTGTTGTGTAAATGCAATGCTCTGCCCTCGCCAGGTTGCAGGCACTTCTTTTTTAAATGCAGACATTTCAGGGAATTATTTTTAAATCTTTTGGTAGGAATAATGCGCGTATTCCTAGCCTGAATGGCTTGTGGGTGAACATCTGCGACCCAGAAAGGCTCGAGCCCTGTCACATTGCCTTTCTGTCCCAATTCCCCACTCCTGAGACCTCCTCGGCTAAGACAAATTATGGGCCGTAATGCCAAGCAAGTTGTGTCCTAGCCCGTCCTCCCTCGGGCTCTAGATGACTGACCCGTGGCCCCTCCTCCTCAAGCCAGTGTTGCTGGGGGACAGCCGTGTCTGTGTCAGGACTGGGGACGAAAACAGCTCACAGTTGTCAAGCTCTAGGAACCACCCCTTCCTGCCCCTCAAAAAAGAAAAAAAAAAAAAATCAAGCCAGAATCTTAGGAAGTGGAGAGCTTGCTCCCCAAGTTCCAGGCAGGTGTGAGAGTGAAGCCTGCGGCTGGAAGTCTGGGAAAGTCTCCATTCACACAGCTTTACCAGTCACTCCGGGAGGAAGGGAGAATGCACCTCTCCGCCCCGCCTGTCTAGGAAAACATCTGCACCAAGAGCTTGCCCACATTGAGTGTTTGCTAGAATGCTATGTCCCATGCCAACTGTCAGGGCCAGACAGGGCAAGCCCTTTCTGTAGCCACCTGTGCTTTGGGAATCTAGCAAATCATGTGAAGCGTCTTGTATGATTCATGTAAGAATCTAATATTAAACTACCAGAAGGTATATTTACGTGATGCGAGTTTTCAAAGATGTTGCTAACTAATTATAGTGCCTATGTGCTGTATGCAAAGAGTTTGACCATGTCTTTAAACCCTGAATGAGGCTAAAAATTCATGTTTGATTTATTAAGGCAGTGAGGTCTGTTTGTTTTTTCAAACTAGCCCAACACTGGGATCCTTCCCAGCTGAATGGATGTCTTGAAGCCTTATTCAAGATGTAACATGACAGTGACTTCAGCGCTGGCTCTGACTGAAACATCCACAGATAGCACTGCCTCCGGCTATCTGTGGCTCCATGTTGCATAGATTCTAAGATGCCCATTTTTTCACATGTGTGAACTCTCCTGTCTTACCATGGCTGTCAGCTAGTTGGAAGCTGAGATGTGGCTGTCATTGCCTGCCCCTTCCTGGTAAGGTCACTAAAGCCCAGCTGAGTGGGTGTCAGCAGCTTGGAAGGAACTTCTGGAGCCATGAGTGAAGCGCACTTTTCAGAAATGCTGCATCACCAGCCTGCATCACGGCACAAAGGACAACACTGCTTGGGAAAACACGGACCAAGGACCACCTGAGTCAAAAAGTGGTTCAGAACACTGGACTCGCAATGTGAAGTTTGGGGACTCTCACTTACGTTTTCCTTTTGTATACGAAAGAGGGAAATGTGTTATGATGAAAATCTGCGTAAAAAGGTCTAAAGGAGCTCTTGCAATAACTAAGTCTAAATGATAAGCATTTTCATAGTTCTAATTGGCACATTTTTCGTAATGGTTCAAAAAATAAAGCTGTATCTTATAATTGTTGGTGTCTCGATTCTATGAAATATAGTAGTCTCCTTTCTCACCAGGCCAGTGCTGGGCTGGAGCCTGGGAATCTGTATTTACCAAGTTCCCCAGGTCCCGGGGCAGGTCAGGGAGCTCTGCCCTGTGAGACTGTGCAAAATCCGAGAATTCAGCACAGGTCTTCAGGCCAGTTTGGGTAATGAAAGAAAATCAGTTTTGCTACTTCAATTTTTTTAAAAATGAATTTGGGCAACTCTACAGAAAAATTTAGAATCCACAAATAGTGAACTATTGACGTCCTTTCAGTTCCATTTCTGATCTTTGTCAGTGCACGTCCATTTTTACAGCACTGCAATTAGCATGCTCCTCTGTGTTTATCCTTTCCCCGCTGGCCATTTCTCACGTATTCCCATCATCCCCATGAACGACCACGGCTGCACACTGAGTTAGAATGGCTCTGTGGGATCCTGGTTCTGCAGGTAAGGCACCCTGACTGTTCCCCTACCATCACATGTATTATTGCAAGTGAAATTTGTTTTTGCTTACGATCATGGGGTATTATCCCAAAAGTAGAAAGTTTTTATAGATCATATTGTTACATTCCAGACTTCTAGAGAACAATTTAGTGACACCAGTAACATAAAAGTTTACCTACTTCCCTAAATTCTAGGTGGCAGTGGTTTAATTTGCTGGGGGTTTTTTGGGTGGTTTGTTTGCTAGTTAAAACAATCACATTTTTTAACCAAAACCCAGTGTTTTAGCTCCGCCATCTGCTGATGGAGCAGTGGGGCACTGCACTTCACCTAGACATCACTCAGCTGACTTTATTCGAGTGTGTGCCAGGTAACGAGGGCCTAGGTGCCAGCCAAGCACACCTTACCCCACCACCCTCCTACCAGGCCTCCACCCGCAAATCAAGATCCAGGAGGGATCCATGTTTTAATGGGGGCAGCAGTCAAACTCAATACCTGATCTGGAAACACCCCACAAGAGAAGAGGTTACGTTTCTGTTCAGTTTGCATCATTTCCCTGGGAAGGCTTCAGAGCTGACCAGAAACACTGAGGTAACTCCCGTGGTGCAGACAGACAACAGGAGAAAGCACGGCCCCAAGTCAGCCCCCACAGCCCAGGCCCCGTGTGGTCCCCACACCACTACACTGGGAGCTTGGTACTGTTTTCAAATTTGCCTCTTCACATGCGTGACCTTATAAAGGAAATCTGTTAATATTTACTCAAGATTATTATCTTTCCTTAAAACTAAAAAAGGGCTACTGTATTCCCATATATAGTAGTTACGGGTTTTCAAATAAGATGCTTTAAGTCATAGGAAAATGATTTACAAATATGACTCCCCCCACCCCCATTTTTAGGGAGCCCTGGTGGCGCAGTGGTTAAGAGCTCAGGCTGCTAACCAAAATGCTGCCAGCTCGACTCCACCAGCCGCTCCTTGGAAACCCTATGGGGCAGTTGTACCCTGTCCTATAGGACCGCTATGAGTTAGAATCGACTCCATGGCAATGGGTTGTTTGTGGTTTTCCCACGTTTAAGGAAAACTCAAGTTAATACCCGTATTTTTAAAGCCAAGCTGTAGTGTTTCTCCACCGGTTTGAATCTTTAGGGAAAATCCATGAAGTAGAAATCACAGAAAAAGGCTCATCTTAGCATCTTCTGGCCAAAGGGGAAGACAACAGGCTGCCTGGACCACCAGGCTCCCTGGCCTCGTGCCCACAGACAGCCAGGCTGGGTGGTCTCAGTCCTAGCGGGAAGGAGGGAGGTGCACCCTGAAGCTGTGGCTCAACCCTGGGACCCTTCATTCCACCCAAGGGACCGGCTTCCACCTGCTCTCAGGAGACCGCGTCTCTGGGCAGCCCAACAGCACAGGACTGGGAGGGCGGCGGGAGGGGCTGAGCTCTTCCTCCCACAGCTCGTCATTCCCAAGCATTCAAAGTCAGCTCCTCTGCACAAGACGGACCGTGGGTGCCAAGGCCAGTGAGGCTTCAGTTTGGAAAGGTGGTGGGTACAAAAGAAAAAGCCTCTGGGCCCATTTCCAATCCTGGCTCTGCTACTGACTAGACCTGGGAGCTCAGGGAAGTCACTGAAGCTCTGGACCCACTTTCTCTTCTGGAAGCTGAGGGTAAAACCAGCTTATCCAGGACATTTATATATAGTTCTAACAGAACTCACCTGCTGACTCAAGAGCCCAGCTCTGGCTTCTGGCTCTTAGCTCAGTTGGTAAGGGGTAGTTTCTGGCCCCTCTGGGCTGAAAGGAACTGGAGTGCTGGCTCCTACTGAATTGGGAAGATGTTTTGGGAGCAAGGGAGGGGGCTGGGTGGGTGAGATGAAAACATCTGGAGACAGAGGCTGTCCTTCGCCACCTGGAAGATACGCCCCTCTGGGCAGGGAAGGCCACCCCATGTGGACCCAGCTCGGGGTGCAGCTCATTCCTGAAGGTTTCAGTGAGCCGCAAACCGGGGCAGCTGGCATCCCTAGGTGAGAACTCACTCGGGCTAGTGGCTGACTGGCAATCTTTAGCAAAAAACAGGCAAGAAGCACACAGTAACTCCCATGCCCGGTGGCCAAATCTCCATGTAGCAAGTAGAGAGTAGCGTCCTGAGTCAGCTCAAGACAAAGCCTCCAGGAACAACTAACAGATATTCCTGCCCATACTAACAGATAGAAGGAACTTTTGAAAATGTATCCTACTTAATGTTTCTTATTCACTTAGGAATTTAATTCATTTACTTGTCATTTATAGCTTTAAAACTGTAAATCAACTATACTGTTTATTATAAGCAAACCATATTCAGAATCTGATACAGTCATACAGACCCCAGCATACACATTCCTCAAGTCCACTCACCGTATGTCTTGCTACTAGACATCTGGCACCTTCTCCCACTCGTTAGCGTCAACCTGAGGGATGAGGAGAGCAGCCTAGATCCCAATAACCTCTATATCTACGGCATGAAAGTCCACACAGCTGGACAACCAGCTCCCAGGATCCACTGCAGTTACTCTACGGCCAGCAAGCTCCCTCCCTCCCAGAGACTTCCATGGGCCTGAAGTGCGGGAATCTTCTTTGGCCCATTCCACAGCTGCTGTCATCCATCCGCACGCCCCGCGTCAGAGCAGAGGTGACGTTTGACTGTTCCAGCTCTTCTCTCAAGGAATGGCAGGACCCCAATAAAGCACTCTCAACCCTTTTTTTCTGTGAAATTTATTGTTTCCACATTAAAAGATTTTTTTTGAGGGGAAGAATTTTCTTTTTTTTTTAACCACATGATGATCCTATACAGCTGCCCAGAGTAGGACACCATCATAAGTCATTAACATGCCATATGAGTTCTGAATAAATAAAAGCTACAAAGCCCAAGTTATATACAAATATCTTAGGCAATAATGTTTACAAACCTATATACAATAAAACAAATGTAAACAGTAAATGCAGCAGGAGAGGAACCAAACGCACAGGGACAACCACCGATGGTCAGTCGACCCCGGAGCCAGCAAGGCCAGCCCCCAGGCTCAGGCCACTCAGCCCTCCCTAACACCACTGCACAGGCCCTCAGAAGACACAGCAATGCTCTCAAGATGTCACTTCCACTGAAGGACTGGAAGCTGGCGAGGAGGACGCCAGCCTCTCCCCCGAGTCTGAGGCACGTTGAGGAGGAGACGTTAGCGTGCAGCCCTGTGTGCGCCTAGGCCCTGTGTGTGCCTAGGCCCTGTGTGTGCCTAGGCCCCAGAGGCCCCTGCTGTCTGGGCTCAGAAGAGAATCCGCTGCATTGGTAGGCAAGTCTATGGAATGAGAACTGCTCAAGTAAAATCTGAAGGTGCAGAAAATGTTCCCTAGTTCAGTGAGCTTCCTGACTCTGCCGGAAACAGGCCCAAACTGTGGGGAATGGAGCTGGGGACACATGATGATGAGCACTGAAGATGCCTGGGTGGAAGCTCAGGAGAAGGGCAAACATCGACCTGATTTAGGGAAGAACTTCTAGAAGATTTGCAATGTCCTAAACACAACTAAGTCCTATCAGTACAGCAGGGTGGGGTATGGGACGGTGTGACAAATGGGTACTTCTGCATCCAGTGACCAAGTTAATACACGTATGTATCACCTTGTGACCCACAAAAGTGCAATCATGTGAAACCAACGGCACTACGGCGAGAAGAGAAAGTAGCCAGTATTGATATCGCGCAGAGTCCTGGGGCCGGGCAGGGCCCAGCAGCCGCCACCGCATGCAGCCTGCCATCTGCCAGCCCCAGGGAGGCAGATGGAGGGGCACAGGGCTGGGCCCAGGCACCGGGGGGTGAGGCATGGGTGTCCTGGGTTGTTGGAGGAGGGCAGAGGCCCCCACTGGAGGCCGGGCACTCACACACTGAGAGGCAGCATCCCCGGTGCTGACGATGGGCGCGAGGAGCCCAGGCCAGGAGGAGGAGGAGCTGGGTCAAAGCCGTTTACTGCCCTGTGGGGTGATGAGAGCGGGGGCGAGAAAGAGAGACTGTCATTCAAAATCACTACACACAGCGAGAAATTCATTTGCTCTCTACAACTAGCCCTCTTCCTGGTCCACAGTGGAACCCTGGTGGCCCCAGGGTAAGTGGCTGCCTGTAGAGCAGGGTGGTCAGAGAATTGAGAGTCCAGGGTGACGGCCCCATAGGATCCCCTCCCGGCAACTTCACCACATAGGCCTGTCAGCCACCCTCCTGGTTTTTTCCTATAGAGCAGGCCTAAGTGCCTGAATAGGGGACTAGTTAAATTTAATGCAGTAACACTAAGTGATGAACTCTTATATGGCCATTAAGAACACATTCTACAGAATTTTTAATAGCTTAGGAAAATATTCAGAATTACTGCTAAGTGGAAGAAGCAGGAGGTTACCAAACTGTGCCTGGTCCATGATGTAGGGGAAAAAAGTAACAATATATATCCTAGACTCTAGACTATAGCCCCTTATATAGATGCAGCCCTGGTGGCACAGTGGCTAAGAGCTCAGCTGCTAACCAAAAGGTTGAAAGTTTGAATCCACAAGCCGCTCCTTGGATACCCTGTGGGGCAGCTCTACCCTGTCCTATAGGGTCACCATGAGTCAGAATCGACTCTATGGCAATGGGTTTGGTTTTGTTTATAGACAGACATTACTATCAATATAGCTAAATCTAGAATGCATGGGGGTGTGCGGGTGTCTGTGGGTGTATATACACATACATATATGTACATAAAATCATATGTTAAATTTTCCTCCTCTGAGTGTGGGTTAAGTTTTATTCCATTACACTTTTTTATTATTTTCTAAATCTCCTACAATGTACACAAATATCTTAATAAGAGAAAAAAAATAACTTTCTAAAACTGTTTAGTAAGCAAAGCCAGATGGGTAGGCGTCTCTGCAGACTCAGAGCGACAGGCCAGCCCAGCACAAAAGCCTGCGGTCGGTCAGTGGGGACCCAGCACCCTGGGGCCAAGGGATGCAGAGAGCCCCACCCAGCCCCGCCCGCTGGTAGCGCAGCCTGGGAAGCAGCCAAGGCCAGGGAGTGCAGGGTGCAGCACCTCTCAGGAGGCCACTTCAGCCTTTCTCTCCTGGGAAACTTCCTAGGGAGCTCTGTCCCACCAGCAGCTTGGGAGATGCAGCCTTCTCCGTACTTGCCCGTCGCTGTACCCACCCACTCACTAGAGGGATCGAGGAGTTAAATGTAGACTCATGTAGAGAAGTTCCCCTAAACAAAAAGGGGGACACACACATTCCCCACAAAAACAGCTGTCTGTACACTGAAGAGCTAAGGGTAAGCTCCCAGAGACAGGCATGCAAAGAGACGACAATGACCCGAGTGCTTTGAAGACAAACCTGAGATTGGGGGCCCTGGCTGAAGAAACGAACCTTCATATAACTAAGTATATACTTCCAGATTGAAATCAAGCCTTCCACGCACAGGCCGTGAGCAGCAGGAGGGGGCTCTGACACGTGTAACCTCCTCCCTAGCGTACACTTCCCTACTTCAGGATGAACATCCTGGATTACAGCACAGGCCCTTTTCCCTTTCCTTTTTGGGCTGAGTCTCATTTTTAAGCATCATCACACTTGAGAACTTTACATCATCCTCCTTCATTCTGCCAAGGCCATATGCCTGTGCCTCTTCTGGGGGAAGGACCACGTCCTATTTGCCACTGTAGCCCTCACATAATAAGCCCCATTTGTCTTTTGTCTGGCTAGTCCCAGAGTCCCCAAGGCCTGCTTCTCGTAGAAACCTCAGGGAGAAACTGGCAGGCCTCACAAATGGCCTCACACTAAATGTGTGGACATCAGATTCCCAGCCCTCAGAGATCATGGCAGCCAGGCAAGTAGACTGGAGACAGCCCCCAAAACTAGGCAGAAAAGAGGCCAGAAGACCCTGGCACCTGTTACACAGAGGCAAGCAAAAGCAGCACCTGTCAGGATGGCTTCACACACAGGTTTAGGCTGGGATTCTGGCATTTTCCAGCTAGATGGGCCTTTCAAGAACATCAAGTTCAATCCCACCGTTATATTGATGAGGAAACCAAAGCAAGAGAAGGTCCAGTCATCAACCTGAGTCACCCAGCAAGCCCGCCCCAAGATTCCCTTCCCTAGTCTCCTCTGGTCACAGGTCACTCAATAGCCCTCGGTGAGCAACTACACTCGTGCTCCCAACGCAGGTCAGCTCTACTCAGGACAAATAAGCAGTGCAATCTGGATGCAAAGGGACAGCAGGAAACTAGAGAAGGAGTTTCCTCTGTGTAGGCAGAAGTGGGAACTCTTGATCTTGAGTGGAGTAGAAAGAGAATAAACAATCTGCTGGGGTCTCACCAAGCACCTCTATTCTGAGTCAAAAAGCAGGAAGTAAAAGATCAGAGGGAGAATAAAGCTGGCCCTACAGGTAGGATTATGGGTCTAGAGAGGTTACTTCACAGAACTATGAAGCTGTGCAGTGGGGAGGGATTCCAACAGAAGAAAGCTCTCTACAGGTACCACATCCGGCTTCAGGGAGCAGCAAAGAGCCAAAGGGAAATGTCCCACTGGACAACACAGGGTGGAACGGAGAGAGAATGGGCGGATCTGGGACTCAGCTCCGTAAAAAGGGTTCCAGAAGCTATGAAACTTCATCATCTTACCACCAGCGAAGAAAAGGTGCTAAGGTGAGTCATAAAACAGCAACAGAAGAAGCAAAAAGGGGGAAAGACATACATTTAGACGTATATAAATCTAATGCAGCAGAGAGAAAGGGTGAAAACTCTAAATCTGTCAAAGAAGCAAGGAAGGGTACATCTGAGGGGCAGTAGGAAAAAAGACAAGAGTGGCCTAGAGCAAATTCAGGCGAGCAGGCAGACTCACTCCAGGCCCCCCACCTACAGTCCTCAGCCCAGGCTCTGCAAACTGAGAAGCACTTCTGAAATGTTAAGGTCCCCATCTACCATTCCAATCTGCATTAGGAATACTAGCGTGAGCCCAGAAGTGGGGGAGTCCCCCCACAGCAAAGCTCTACTACCTTTAGTGCCTGACTTGAGAAACAGAAGATGCGGGGTAACAGGAAGAACCCCAGGCCCATGAAGATAGTCAGATGTGATTGCAGGGCCTGACAGGGACCCTCAACTCCTACCTGGACTCCTGGACCCATCACTACAGCACCCCACCCTGCATCAGGACGGCTACCCGTCATACTATCCACATTGTCCCGGGACCACAGCTAACGTGCTTTTGTTTTGAACGGCTGAACCAGTAATAATGGTATACAGCCACATCAAACAGGAACCTGAAGGCTTACTCACAAGCTGTGAGTTGGTTAAAGCTGAGTCAGCCCCATGCAGTTAGTAAAATCAGTTTCAGTTAATGTGTCTTCCACCACACACCATGATTGAGAGAATGAGAAAGAGCACAGCAAACAAATTCAGTTACCCATGAACAACGTGGGGAATATGACCTTTTCTTGCCTAATAAAAAAAAGGAAAAAAAATTAAACAGTAACACAAATACTATTTTCACACCATGCCCTATACACAGCCCACCTACACACAGCCCAAAAGATACCAGATGGGCTTACAAAAACATGGTAAGTGATACATAAGAAACTGAATAAAAGCTACAGAGAGAAAAGAATTTCTGAGAGAACTCAAGTGATTGTACTCCACACAAAAGTTGTATCCTTTGAGATAAGTGATAGGAAGGGCCATCAGTGGATAGAGAAATAGAGCAATACCCGGCAAGGAGGCACAGCTACCCATGTTTCAGGGACTGGCGAAAGCCACAGACTAGATAAAATCCTGATTCCATGAAACGCTCAAATAACCAGAATTTACAAAATATTTTTGAATCCCATAAAGTTAAATATATGTACTAGGTGTATTTATTAGGTACATTAAATACCTAGCTATATTTAAGATATATTGCTTTATGTGGTAAAGCTTCATTGCTCCTGGAGATTTTCAGGGGGGTAGGAGGACGGAGTGTACACACGCACACTCAAAACATACATGCATGCATACATGTGCGTGCACACACACACACTCAATACATGCATGCATGCGTGTGCATGCACACACACACAGATTAACTCCTTCCCCCACACAATCCTCCTCTACAGTGTCCAGTGGCACTAGTAAAACTACAGTGACAGACAGCGCTACAGACAGACTTCTTAGGCTTTGTACAGGAGGAGCTTTTTCTCATGCTGACCTCTATGCTTGCTTCTGTAAGAATTGGCTTGTTTTTGTTTTTTTTAAACTTGCCAGATTTAATAATGGACCCGGGAGGTGGGATATTTCCCCTCTTCCTTTTGTAGCCAGTATATAATACCCTGGTTTTTATCTAGCCATAAGTTAGCAGGAAGAAAGGCCAGAGGTAAAAAAACAAGCGGGCCAGAAGGAAGGCAGAGTCAAAGCAAGCAAGCGAGAAGACAGCAAAGCCCACAGAAGAGTTCTCTTCAGGAATACAGGATAACTTAAGCAACGGGTTAATGTCCAGTGTGCATATATACTAACCAATTATCATATACGCACTTGAGAAAAGGCCAGCTCACAAAAGCATATTTAATTTTTAATACAAACAGTACAATATAAAATATGTACTAATTAAATGAAAACTAAATATAATTTTCTATCAGGAAACTCATTTCCCGTTTCCGTTCAGGAAACACAGCCTACACCTGCATCTAGGATGCTCCCCAGGGGCCAGGGGCTAAGTAGGTGAACAGTGTGACACTCCTGGCTTCAGGTGACACTGGATTCTCCACATCTCCCCAAGACTGGGTCATCTTTGGGCAATCCCTCCCTGGCACTCTGCATCAGGAGTCAAGTGGAAGCCGGTCTCTCAGGAAGACAGGAGCCTGAGCTGATGGCGCTATTCCTCCCTCCTCATGATGTTCTAACCACTCCGTCTGTGGTTCAGGCCGATTCTCACACATCCTGAGGAGCCCAAGGCCCACCAAGAAATGTGATTCCAGATAGAGACTAATAGCCACTCTACTGGAGGTAACTACAAGTTGCCATAAAAAACTGGCACTGTTTCCAATACTCATAAAGACCTTTAACTTTCTCTGCACCATTTGCGGGAAATGGCAACTGTGATGTAAGAATATCCACCTGTTCCATTCACCACTGCAGTGTAAAAACTGCCACTCCTCATGTCTGCCGGAAACTCCGAGACCCGAGGAAAATTCATTTTATACTTACCCCACCTGAGGAAGTCCAACAGTTAGAAAAGAGTTCTGATTTCTATATTGATATTTTAACTGTGCTTTTAATGGGAATATGCCCTTAATGAAATGTGTGTACTCCAGAGAACAACCTGAATGCTCCACTCTACAAGGATGGACAATAAGCGCCTTTTTAAACTGGACTGTGTATCAAATCAGGTCCTCCATGAATGTGCCATAATTACTGAGGAAAACAGAAATACAAGCTCCTTTAAGAAACTATGAAAATTTCCAGAGTTGTATCTGCATTGCTTTTTTAGAAAAATGAGAAAACTGCATCTACTACTCAATGCAGAGACAGGGGCAAGGGTGCCTCAGTTGCTCCCCAGACCACAGGTCCTAACTAGTCAGCTAAGTTAAGGCACACCCACACAAGAATATAACCGTGCGGTATTTTTTTAAAAATGAGGGAGAACAATGTGTACTGACATAGAAAGATACTGGCAATATAACTCATGATAGGCATGCTACTGAGTAATATTTAAAGTATAATCCCATAAGGGTGTTTAAAAAACTCCATAGCAAAAGCAAAAAAATGATTTTAAATGTACAGGAATAACTATAGTTAACACAGGATGTAAAAACTGTGTGACACCAACACAGAAAATATTTACCTTTTACTTTTATCTTTGTATCATATAAAAGTTGTATCTCCTAATCATTTTTTGATCCAGTATCTAAATACTTAAAGACTTTGTATTTTTTTAAGATCTTCAGAAGGTTTGTGGCAGAGTTTGCATTACCATAATTGCAGTATTCTCTTCTACCCTTAAAAATGCTTGCTAAATAAACCAGAGACTTCGTCAGCCTGAGACCAGAACTAGATGGTGTCCAGCTACCACCAATGACCGCCCTGACAGGGAACACAACAGAGAGCCCCTGATGGAGCAGGCGAAAGGTGGGGTGCAAAACTCAAATTCTAGTAAGAAGACCAGACTTAACGGTCTGACTGAGACTGGAGGAACCCCAGAAAGCATGGCCCCTGGATTCTCTATCAGCCCAGAACTAAAACAATCTCCAAGGCCAACTCTTCAGACAGGGATTGGACTGGACTGTGGGACATAAAGTGATACTCGTGAGGAGTGTGCCTCTTAGCTCAAGTAGATACAAGAGACTAAACAGCTTCCGTCCAGAGGTGAGATGGGAAGGCAGAGAGGGTTAGGAGCTGGTTGAACGGACATGGGGAATCAGGTGGAAAGGAGGAATGTGCTGTCACAGTATGGGGGAGCAATTAGGGTCACATAACAATGTATAAATTTTTGTATGGGAGACTAACTTGAAATGTAAAGTTCATTTAAACTACAACAATAAAAAATTTAAAAAATGCTTGCTAAGGACATCTACAAGCCCATAAGCACCTTGAGAACAGGGATATATAGTCATCTTTAATCTCCAGAGCCTATCCTGCTGGCTTTCAAGGCTCTGCTTCCCGGGATAGAAGCTTCAGCCTTAGGGTTCCCACAGCAACAGACTCCACAGGGAATATAAGACAACAACAGATTTCACGTCCCCTAAGACGTGAATGATAATGACAGGCTGCAAGTCGATTTATCAAACTGGGTTTACATGTTCAGAACTTCAATAAACTAACTTGTAATCTGCAACTTTACTACTCAAAAAACTGTCATTTAAAATTTCCAGGACTTACCCTTTATCGAAGAAAGACGTATGCCCTGAACGAGAGAACTTTGTGCCATTGCTGTTCATCACCCCACAGTTAACGTTCCCTGAAATATAGGATTTTCGTGATGCTTGGTCCTTTGCAAAATTCCTGCAAGCTGCTAATTTGGATTCTAAAGCCTAAAAAAGGAAGAAGGAATGATTTGGTTGTCAAAACAGTAGTTATGCATAAAAATTTCCATTTCAAACCATTTCTATTTCAAGACTCGAACCTCACTCTCTCAGTTGATAATGGTAGCTATTTAATCATAATCAATCACCTTTCTAGCAGAAAGAGGAAATGTTTATACTGACTCCCTTTAATGAGCTCCGAATATCTATTCCTCTCAGTGTTACTGAGGGATGCAGATATAATCCTTACAACTAAGAAAAATGTGGCCCAGGCAGGCAGAAACGGATCCCAGGTCCCTGGGCCCCACCCACTGTTTCTTTTTGAATTGTGGACTGTTGGTTGGTTAGCAAGTTGATTTGTGTGTGTATGTGTGTGGTTTAGGAAAAGCAAGCACCATAAAGAATCCAAAACAACCATCTGAGAATTTCTTTTTACCGCAGCCACTTCTTTCGTAGGTTCCTCAGTTTTTTCTCTACTGCATCAGAACGGATGAGGGCATTTACACCTCACATCAAATTAAAAGCTGTTTGATTTCTGAGCATGCACTGTAAAATCTCTACCTGATATCTTGTTTGTAATTAAATAAGCCACCTGGAAATGACACTAGCCCCTTAGCATTCACCTCTAACCTGGGTGTCCTTACTCGGCACCCGTCACCACAACGCCTGGCCGGTGCCAGTGTCCACAAAGGACCGGACGACGTGGGGGGAACAGGAGTTTCTCAGGTATTTCCATCACAGACAGACATCACCAACTCCTCCTTTCCCATAAACCAGAAAAACCCATTGCCATCAAGTCAATTCCAACTCATGGCGACCCTACAGGACAGAGTAGAACTGCCTCACAGGGTTTCCAAGACTGTAGATCTTTATGGAAGCAGACTGCCACATCTTTCTCCCACGGAGCAGCTGGTGGCTTCAAACTGCTGACCTTTCATTTTGGTAAGCAGCCGAGTGCTTAATCACTGAGCCACCAGGACTCCTTTTCCCATAAACACTTCGACCAAATTAAGGTAAAAAAAAAGGAAAATACAATCTACGACCCAAAAAAAAAAAGTCCATTCCTATCACAGACAACACTAAGAGATTAGGAATGCACAGATAAATTAAATCCACAGATAATACATACTTCACTCTGAGAATCCCATTTGAACCTCCTCCCCACGTAATTTCAGTAAGTGCTATAAAGAAACAGCACTAAAGACAGACTAAAACTTGTTTCTCTTCTCCTTCTTTTCCTATGATACAAGTACAATGAGCTGACAAAATAACAATGAAAAGAAGGAAGAAAGGTAACAACCCTGTAGGATAAGCCTCTGAATAAGAATTACTTTACAACTTGTTAAGCGTACACACAGTAGCAATTAAGAGTCATTAATTTCCCATTTCAAGACATTCGAGTATGTGCTGAGCATCTACTCGGGAGCAGGCACAAGCTGTGTCTAAGGTGTCAGGGACAATCCGAGAGCAGGGAGTGGGCCTAGCACTCCGGGGAGAGGGGATCCACACCTACTGGTAGAGAAACCACGGTTGTGAATAGTAAGATCAGAACTCTAATGAAACCAGCACAGAAAGGGTGGGCAGAAGAACCAACAAAAAGTCTCAGAAGGAACAGACTGAAAGGTAGGCAGCAGACAACAGCATCAGAGAATCAGAGGAAGAACACGTTTAAAAAAAAAAAAAGTCAGTGCTGAACGTTCCAGTAAAACTAAGGCAGAAGAGTATCCACTGGGTTGGAGAGTTTTAGTGGCATGAGCAGGGAACAGCACCCAGACTAGAATGACCCCGGAACAAACATGTATGAACTCAACATGCTAATAGCAAATGCAGACATGCTTCCAGAATGCTTGGCTGAGTAGGGCAGAAAGCAACAGAATGACACCCAAAGAGAGATGGAAGGCAAAAGGGAAAAAAGAACCGCTTTTTGCTTTTTCAGGTTAAAAATTATGTAATATATAATATGTACTACATAAGTATTACATAAATTATATATTTTATGTATTATATCTAATGTGTAATACATAAATACCACACATAAATATTAACACATACAGTAAAGAGAGAGGCTGAAGCTACAGGAGAAATAAAGGATGAGAAGGCTGGAAGGAATAGAATCCAAAGCACAGAGGGACAAACCAGCCACGAGCAGGAATATGATCCTTTTACCACTGAGACAAAAAGGAAGAACGGCTGCAAACAGAAGTAATAATAGGAGGGTTAGAACAGAAGGTGAGAGAGGAAATCAAAGACATTTAAATCAGATGGCCTTGATTTTCTCAGTGGAAGAAGATGCAAGAGTGGGGGCTGGGGATTCTAGTTCGTCAGTGGACTAAGTAGTGTAAAGAAGTATAAAAAGAAATAGTTATGGGTGCGTGGAGGGGCTGGCAGACAGCAGCAAAGCAAAGATTTCGACGACATTTTTGGAAGACAGACTTCAGCTGAATGGGTGAACCATGCAAGGGCTCCAAGTTTCACTTTCATGCACTACTGCTGAATAAATTTTCTACATACGAAAGCAAAACAAGGAGCAGTGAAAGATGACAACGGAGGGACAGGAATAGGCAGAAGTAACCCAAGAGTATAATGAAGGGAATTCAAGAGGCACAGGTGTGCAGCAGCCCTAGAAGCACACTGAAGTGCTCAGCGAAGACTGTGAAAATGAAACTGGATGATATAAGAGACAAAGCAAAGAAAGGGTATGTTTCTCCTGTCCACAAGAAAGAAAGGTAATTAGAAATGTAGGGGAAAAGAAAAAGGCATACAGGTCAGCTTAATACAAATAGGAAGCCAACTAAAACTTGATATGATTTTGAGTAAATGACAGTTAAAGAACAAAATGCTTGAAACATTTCTTTTTTGAGTGGCACAAATATAATGACGTAAGAGCCAGCCTCCTCCTCCATGGTTATGCAGTAAATAACATTTGCTACTGACTAATTTTCCATTTTCAGAATCAACTGAAAGAGGTCAAGAAGCGACAGCAAAAATGAGAGTGACAAACAGAGAAAGGTATAGGAGTTGAGATACGGTCTAATAAATTCAGAGCTCTAAGCATGTTAAAGTTATAAAAATAACCAACAGAAGAACAAAAATAAAAAATTGAGAGGAGGTAAGATAAATTCCTTATCTTTTTGCCTAAAGTTGGGAAATCAAGATACACAAAAACAAGCACATTATTTTGAATTACAGAGGTAACCACCACAACTCTTACAACAAAAAGGATAAAAACCAGTTACCCTGGGACTGGGGAAAGATTATGTTCTGTAGGAATAATTTATGCACATTACTTTTTATATATAAGATTACAGTAACCTTAAAATGCAGATTTACAGCTAATTTGATAATTGCAAAATAATCAATTTATGAACCAAAAATGGTAAGCATAAGACTTTATGCCTTTGGATCATGGATAGTCGGAAGAAAAGTGAAAGCAGATGGCTGCTATAAAAAAACAGAGTACTACTGTTGCTAATTCAAAGAGTAGGTATTATTCCAAGTAGAAAACTGAATAAGCAGAAAAACAAGTTAAATATTTCAAAAGCCAACCTACCCTAGAACACAAGGTTAGAGCTAAGAAGTCATGAAGCTGAGGTGGTCAACGAACAGTAAGACCAGGAGGACAAAACTAAGAATAGAACGTAACACCATGAGCCAAATGCTAAAGTCCTACAAAATAAAAGGTCAGGAACGACCAGGACGATGGTAGACAGCAGCAAAAAACAGGATGAAAAGGTGGTATAAGATACACAGAGGGTCTTAAAGGAAAGGTTTTAGACAAACATGGAGGAGTCATGATGTAGAAACAGCAATGGGGAACAGGAAGAACTCCCAAGTTGTAAGTTAATAGCTCGGTGCACAGGGCCTTCTGGAAAGGCTCCAGCGAGCCCAAGCCCCGTCTGGGCCAGTCTCGGCCAGTCGCTGGAGGTTTTCGCTTCTCAGCTTAATTACAGCCTTTACCACAGCAATATATCCTTTTTTCTTCTCTGAATTCAAATACAGAAATAATACCTTGGCAGTTGAAAACATCTAATGACAAATAATTAAATGCTTACCCCTACTTTCCGTAAGAGATCCCCCACGATGTTTAGTGCTGATATCCTAGCAGAAGGAGTTAGTGGACTGGTACCAAAACCATTTGGTATAGCTAGAGAAAAATAAAAGGTGAGTGATTACACTTGGGTTTTGTTGTTGATACTACAAAATCAATACAGTATTCCAAACTATGGACGAAGCATAAAGATACCATAAATAAGTTCAATCATTCTCCAACTGATGGATATTTAGATTATATCCAATGTTTCATCATTACAAATAACACTACAAAGACACATAGTCTCAAACACCTAGACAAGTATTTCTAGAGAAGAGATTCCTAAAAATAGAGCCGCTAGGTCAGAGGGTATGCCAACTTTTTTCATCGTAACAGATTCTGTCAAAATGTTCTTCAAAAGGGTCATGCCAATATCAGCAACTCTGTATGGCATTGTCCTCAGTGATATTAAACATTATCAATCTTTTTCTTCCCCAATCTGATAGGCATGTTGTCTCCATTTTTAGATCTGTGATATACAGTCATTTGAATCTCTTCTTCCTGAAATTATCTGTTCATTCTCTGCCCCAGCTTCATCAACAAACAATCTTAAATTGATAATCCACCAGAGCCTCTAAAAGGAAAGATACTACAAACCTTTTGGTGAAGGAAAACTGTTTTCCGTTCCTTTGCCAACAGGAGTAGCTGGCAAAGAGAGTGAGGCTTGGACAGCAGAATCCATCTTTTCACAGTCTAGAGTTGGAGAACTGGGAGCCGACTTTCTGGTTACTTCCTGTTGCCTTTCCCGAACTGCCAGTTCTTGTCTTAAATCTGCAAAATGTTGCAAACAAAGGAGTAATACTCTCTAGAGGAAGCAGACATATCAAGCAAAGTCACATCTGAAACGCCACAGAGCCATTTTTCCTAAATTACTACTTCGCAAAAATGAATTTCCTGTTTAACAACTTTCATTTACACAGGTGTCTACTGTAATAACAGCCCTACTTCTAAACAATATTTTAGAATTTAAAAATGCTATATAATCTATGCCTATATAGAAAAAGAAACAGGACAGAGCCCAAAGTAGAACTCGGAGTGAACCTATGTGACACAAAAATAAATATTTTTTACCAACTCATTTCCTTTTATTTTGAAATGATGTAGTTTGGAATTACTGCAAAATCAATGAAGTGCATTTTTGTAATTTAAAATGGTTGGTATCCAGACTTAGTGGTCTGACTGAGACTGGAGGAACCCCGGAAAGCATGGCCCCTGGATTCTCTATCAGCCCAGAACTAAAACAATTTCCAAGGCCAACTCTTCAGACAGGGATTGGGCTGTGGGACATAAAGTGATACTCGTGAGGAGTGTGCCTCTTAAGTAGATACAAGAGACTAAACGGACAGCTTCTGTCTGGAGGTGGGATAGGAAGGCAAAGAGGGTCAGGAGCTGGTTGAATGGACATGGGGAATCAAGGGTGGAAAGGAGGAGTGTGCTGTCACAGTATAGGGACAGCAATTAGAGTCACATAACAACGTGTGTATGAATTTTTGTATGGGAAAAAAGAAAAAATAAAATGGTTGGTATTTTTTATTATCACAATGAAATATCTTATTTTAGAAAGAAAGTATTCAGAACTTTTTTCTTGATTTCAAATATTGAATTTTTAAGCCAGTTATGCAACTAAGCAATAGAATATTTACTTATGTTAAAAAAAAGATAGCCTGATACATGCTACACCACCGATGAATCCTGAAAACATTATGCTGTATGAAATGTCAGTTACAAAAGGACAAATCTTGTATGATCTCACTTACATGAACTATCTAGAATAGGCACGTGCATAGGGATCAGAGTTATCAGTGGTTACCAGGGGCAGGCAGGAGGAAGGGGAAAGATAGCACTGTGGGGACACTAAGCTTCTGTTAAGGGTAATGGAAAAATGTGGAAACAGTGATAGTTGAACAACATGATGAACATATTTCATGTCACTGAGCTGTACATGTGAAGATTGTTGAAATGGCAAATGTGTTACCTATATAATTACTACAATTTAAAAAAAGATAAAAGGTTAATATCATAATCAGTACACTATATAAATTATGAGAAGCTCTTCAGATGAATAAATCCTCCCTCAAAAAACCAGGAGAAACATGAAAAACCAAGTTTTAAAAGAGGCAATGAACACTGAGCAGAAAGTTTCACAAACAGTAACCAAAGAACTACAAATTAAAACAATCAACTTTCAAATGGATTGATTTTTATGTAATTTTTAAAATGCATTTTTATTATTAACAATGCTGGTAAAGAGTGAGAAGAACACCCTCAATCACCATGAGAGTGCAGAAGTACCAACGTATCTAAGAGGTAATTTAGCAATGTGTATTACGACCATTAAAGACTTATATCCTTTGCCACGTCTAAGAATCTATTCTAAGGAAATCATCAAAGATACTCCTATATTATGGTAAATGTATGTATTATGTACCAGGATTATATTCATAGCATTATTTATAGCAAAAAAATCAGCAACGAATAATAAAGAGCTCATTAAATAAAACGGAACTCTATAATAGAACATTATGCAACATTTTTTAAAACTATGTTTTAAAAGATTTTTTAATGACATGAACTGGAAAGAATTACACCAAACTTAGTGGATTCTCCTTAGAAGGACTGGTAGTGATTTTTATTTTCTTCTTTATAATATGCTGTATTCTACCATGCATAAGCAAAAAAAAAAAAAGGGGGGGGAAGAGGGAAATTTTTAAGAAGTATACATTCACTGTATGTATAATATGTATACAGCAATATGTACACATATACAGTGCCATTAAGTGCATAATCCAAAATGGTTTAGGTAGAAGCAATAAGGAAAAAACAACAAACCAAGCAGTACATGAACAGTGACAGTGGCAAAGGCTTTGGAAAACAGACCAGAGTCTGAATTCCAGCTAACTAGCTATACGATCTTGGGCAAAACTCAGACTGTCTGCACCTCGTCTTCTGATCCATAAAATGGGGATAATACTATCTACCTCATAGAGTTGATGATGTATGTATTAAATAAGTTAACAGATTAAAAGCACTTAACACAGTGCCTAACAAAACTACATAAATGTGTAGCTTTAAAAAAAGTTGATCTTTAAGCTTACTTAGTACTCTGGCTTAGGGACAATAAAGTAATAGATAAATATTATTTAAGTTATAAATTTTACCTCTTGCTTCATCCTTTAACCTCTGTACAGATACCAACAAAGATTCCTTTTCATCAAGTTCACTTTCTAAAAATGCATTTCGTTCAATGGCCTGATTTAGCCTTTGCTCAAAGTCTTCCAATGAAACTATTGTTGCCCTAAAAAAAAAAAGAAAAATTAGAGTCTATGGATTAAGTAAATAACATGTACAAATAACTAATACAAAAGGAAATTGTCAAAATTTATCTCCTGCCATTTCCTGACCCAGTTCAAAGAGAATGATCTCATCCCCTTCTGACCGCTGGTGGCATGTAGTGTCTCTCCTATCATTTGGGGCCATCCAATATATTCTATTCTTAAATCTCCATTTAAATTCCTTAAAGTTCCTTAAAAGAAGGACTTTTATTAGACACTTTATATGTTCATTGGGTTCTAAACACAATAAAATCAATTATATACATTTTCAGGAAGAAAATTTTTCTCCCAGTTCTCCCGCCAAAGTTTCTAACTCATGAAGCCTGGCATGTAGCCCAGAACCGTGCATTTTTAATAGGTTACCCACCACACATATACATACACTTGACTCTGAGGACTACATTTTGAGAAATACTGTCCTATGCTGACAGCCCTCAGATGCATAGCTCTGGAAACTCCCTCCTGAGTGCTAGATTTATGTTTTCGGTTTCCTCAGAGGAGCCTAAACTTTAAAAGTTCCTTTAAAAGGAACTAGTTCCTCAAATTCCTGACCAAGACCAAACTCATTTACATCCTGCCAACCTTTTCTTCTTCCTGCATTTCTCATCTTACTCATTCGACAAACACTAACATACATCTATTATGTGCTATCTGCTATGCAAATACAATTCCCTGCCCTCAAGTTAGGACTCTCAATGGCGTGATGAATTTTATCAAGTCCTGTCAACAGCCAAAATGTCTCTCAAATCTTGTCCAACCTCCTGCCACTGGCTTAATTCTTCATCCATCACCTGGATTACTCAATGGTCTTCATATTTCCTCCTCCCTACTTCCAATTCCTCGATATTCTCAAATCTAAATCTCATATTACTCCTTTGTTTAGAAAATCTTAAAGAGTTCTCCACTGCCTATAGAGCGACTTTCAAACATGGCACAGCGGTTCTTCATAACCTGGCCCAACCACCTTCCAGTCGCATCTCCTTCAGCCATAATGTCTCCATACACTTCGATCAAAGTGAAATATTAATACTTTATGCACCACCCTGACTATCTTTGAATCTCTCTCTTCACCTAGTTAACATCTATTCCTCCTTGCAGACTCAGTTCTACTATCTGCAAAGGATTCTCCAATTCACCCGGGAGCTTTAGCTGCTCCTTCTCTATGCCCTGGAACAATCTGAACACTCAATTTACTAGAGCCTTTATCATAAAGCATGTCTCATATCTGTTACCCCTTAAGAAAAATGAGTAGCTTATCTCTCTAACCTCCAGCCTAGCATCACGTCAGGCACATAGGAGTCAGTGAATAAATATTAAGGAAAGAAATACCAAGGAATAATTATAAACCAACAGGAATTAAGTTTCAAATGATTAAGAAACAACTAATTATAGATGCATGAAAGCTTGGCAAAATAATAGCAAGCCACTGCAGGTTGTTCAGCAAAATCATAATGAAAGCAATAGTTCAAGAAAATTCATCTGTCAGTATTAACGAGAAGAGAATGAAAAAAGGAGTAAAAATTTAGAGTCAAAGATCAGCTAGGTGATAACTGCAGAATTCGGGTATAAGATGTAAGGACCTACAAAAAATGTAGTAGTAGTGAGAATATGGAGGAATGAACGAGATGAGTTTTAAAGAAAAACCACTAGGACCAACAACTGTACGTGCAAGAAGAAGGAAAAAAGGAAAACTGGAAAGAGAAGAGCTTGGAAGGGGAGATAAGGATTCTCTCTGGGGAGACAAAGATTTTGGGTTAATTTCAATCAATGAGTTACAGGTGACATGAAATACCAAAAGAAAATGTTCTGGGGCTAAAATCTAGCTGATAGGTGAGCCTAAGATATATATATTTTAATCACTGATCCCAACTTTGCTTATTCTAAGAAAACGCACAGCATTCGTTTACCTTTTGGCTCGCTCCAGGTCATCATTGGCCTGCTCCAGTTCTCTCACGTACTTATGCAACTGCTCCTTAATGGCCCGCGTCTGACTTAAATCATCCTCTAACACTGAGACCTGCTTGTAGCTCTGTGCATACTGATGTTCTAGTTTCTCCTGAAGGTGTGAGTATATGGAGGAAAGTATGTGTCATTAACATGCAGCTTTCCTTAATAAAGCATGTAATCCAAGTGCAAGGGAAACAAAAACACACAGAATTCACCTGCAGTCTAAGCTGACAGTCCCTTTTTACAATATTTAAAAACTAAAGGACACATCCATTCTAAGTGCCCTGACTCAGAAACATTTAGATTATCAACCACTCTCCTCTCAGAAAGACATATAGTAATAATCTCATAATACCTCTCTGAAAAGAAGAAAAATGATGAAACCTTCCCTCAAAAACCCTGAATTTGGTGGGGAAACCTCTGGGTTCTAAGGCTGAATCCAGGGCCAGGGCAAGTACAGAGAAATAAACTGCCACTCACAGTTCAAATTCCCTCCCCTCTGCCTGCCCTCCCCCACCTCTAAACCCACCCACTCCCCAGACACAGCGAAGGGGTTAATCCATTTACTCCTGAGAATTCCTTTTTAGAAGGAAATTTTTTAACCTAAACTGGACTCCAAAACTGAGGGGCTATGACCAATCATGAAATTACTTCAGATAAATGTAATCTGAAAAGTACTGCAGAATGAGGCAATCTACATCAAAACAGATCATCAGGCAGCTTTTGAAAACTCTAAGAACTACAATATAATATTATAGCTAGGCACATTATTGCTAGAAAACTGACAGCTATGACTTTTCTAAGTGAACTCCTAAACGAAACCTTTCCTTGGTTCCAAGAAAGAAAATACTTTTTTTCCAAAATTGACTTTAAGCCTCTTTTTATATTTTCTTGTTGCCTGCTGCTCTGAAGCTCCACATGAAAAATAGATTTCTCATTTTAATAAAACCCAGCACATTAGACCCCAACTTCTACTACCACAATTACCTTTAATGCTTCGACTTCGTATTTCAGTCTTTGGTTATCAGCTTGCAAGTCTCTATTTCTTTGTTCAGCCTGTACTAACTGCGCCTCCAACTCTGCTTCTAATTCTCTGCTTCCTTCCTGGAATTCAACTAGCTCATCCCGAGCTTCCTGGAAGCTAATCAGAACAAAGTGGGAAAGATGAGTTAGAGTATGATCCACAAGGTCCTGAAGATGATTATGTATTCTTTTGGGCTGGATACAAATGCTACTATAACCAAAACTAAACCCATTGCTGTCAAGTTGATTCTGACTCAAAGCAACACTAGGACAGCACAGAACTGCCCCATAGGGTTTCCAAGGCTGTAAATCTCCTGCAGAGTGGCTGGCAGGTTCAAACTGCTGACCTTTCGGTTAGCAGCCAAGCACTTAACCACTGCGCCACCAGGGCTCCTTAATGCTACTACAGAATCTACTAAACTATAAAGACAATCCGGTTTGCATTTCTTACTTTATACATTCTGGGTTAGATGAAAATTAGTTGTAAGCCCCAAAAAGGACTCACAAATCAGCAACTACAATATTTATGAAAAGTAAGTCTACATGTGAATCAGTATCATTAACTTCTTCCTCCATAGAATTAAGTGGGATCCATGATCTGTAGATGAGGGGGTAGTGCATCTTTATTTTCACTAAAGTAACTGAAATTTAGCATCTTCTTCAATTGTGTTCAATAGAAATCACAGCTATTTCACATCACAATAGGGTTGTTGCAGCTATCTCTAAACATCATTTATTCTCATTACTATCAAATTTACAGTAGTTAATACACTCACCCCAGATCTTTTTATTTAATGTATTAATAAAGAAGTATACATTATTAATATACCACAAATTAGTTTAATATTTAGACAACCGTCCTTCAGTATACTTGGTTTCCTTTGTAATTCTATGATTTACTTTTATGCACTTAAAAACATTATTCTTACAAGGAGTCCATAGGCTTCACAAGCCTATTAAAGCGAAACCAACACAAAAAAGATTAAGAAGGCCTGCCTTAGACACACATCTTCTATATCCACCGGCACAGCAGAGTAACTGACTTCAGTGATAACCATGAAATGGCAATCAAAGGTTTCGTAAGGCTTAGTAAACTGTGTTAACTAAAGTAGGAAAATATATAAATATTTTAGAAAGATTCCAGTAAAAAGCAAGTTTAAGTTTTGGTGCTTAAAAAGTTACTATCCAAAAGTGTTCCCAACTCAGTAAAATAATTGAAATTTCCTAACTTGCTCCATACCCCTGAAGCTCTTCTTCCTCCCACAAAGCTTTGCTGACTCCAGACACTGATGACACTTGTCTGAAGAGAACTAAAGTCTGTCAAATGGAAACCTAAACAGCTTATCAGAATCTCCAAATGGCCAGGATGAGGAAGCAGAATCAGTGCACACACAGCAGGCCAAAGACAGCCAAGTCTAGTAACAAGCATAAAAGGCGGTAAACCACCAGAAGAAATCACAGAATGACACTCAGTTTTCTTACTGTAGTAATAGTTTCAATAATACAAAGATTTATGGCATTTTTATAACATTTAAACACAAGCAATGTTATGACTATTTCTAGAATCCTGACTCCTAAGCTGAAACTCTAAATTTAGCTTTATGTTTAAAAAAAAAAAAAAAAAGCACAAGCTAGACATGATGTATTCCAAATGTCCTCCCCTAGTTTTACTGTGTTTGTCAACATTACCTTTGTTTATACTTCAAGGAAAGTTCCTTCCAATAAGCAGTTTCCTCCTTTAAACTTGAAAAATCTGGTATATCTTCACCATCCATGATCAAGAAAGCCTGTAAAATATTAAAGACAAGCTATTATAAATTAAATAGAGAACACAGGCATCTAAGTATAAAATCTGAGACAAACTAAATCAGCAGCATGTTGAAGGGAGTTAAACATAAAAGATTCTGTAAGTGGTTAACTAATATAATTCAGGCAAATAAATCATTTCACTGCCCCACTCTCTGAGACCACCAGTATTATGGATGAGGCCACAACAGGCGATGAGGCACTGGGTTGTGGGTAAACTGGCCCCACAGAACCATCCTGCACACAGGACTCCAGCAGTGTGGCTTATGGTCAACTGGCCTTCTGATAATCAGGTGACAGAAACAAGCATACTCCAGAGCAACTGCTACTGCATGCCCTTCTCTGTTGTGCACTTGCTTCAAAACACCTGCTTGGAACGTTTCATGCCAGGTGACCCTACTAGGAGATCAGGTACCACATTCCCGATAATTTACTACAGTGAAACCTGTGAGGGCCGAAACTCAATGGGCCTGCCTTGTTTTTCCAAGTCTTGCAAGTTTTCCACCTTTGACAGGGTGCAGTCTTACCACTTTTCTAGTGAAAATATTTGCGTTTTCCTTCTCTGACAGGTTTCCGCCTTACATAGGTTCCGTCCGTTGCAGGTATGCTGTATTATTACATTTCTTAAAACCTCCTGTTAATTATCTTTTAAGTCCAAATCTTCTTCCAAAAGTCCACTAATCCCCAACCTCAATGTTCTTTCATCTTGGTTGGTCTCCCAAGGCTTAGGGGGAGGGGTGTACGTGTGTAGTTAACCTGAATTTAGACTGGCTAACTAATACTCCCAGTTGATTCTCAGGCCAGATGGAATACCAAAAGACCGGGCGCTGTCTAGAATCATGCCCAGTGTTTCAGTCTTACCTCCTACAGCCCCTCCCCCAGACATCCCACATTATATTTCAGCAATACTATTCAAAATTGCCTTAGCACACCATGCTATTTCAGGTCTGGATGCTTTCCCAAGTGTCTTCTCTACCTGGAATGGCTCGCTCTTCCTTGGGTATTTGGAAAGTTCCTGTTTATCCTTCAAAACTTAGATGTTATCTGTTCCTTTCCCACCCTCACCCAGATAGCATTAAATTCCCCTTCCCGCTTGCTACTTCTATAACCCATGTATACTTTTATTAATATACTTACCATGCAGTAGTGCATTTGCTTACACCCCTGTATTTCCTATCAGGCTGTGTATTATTTAGTTCTATCCTAGTACAATGCCTGCTACATAGCAAAAACTCAACAGTTACTGAATTAAACTAAAACTGATTCATCCTAATCCATCCTGGATAACAAGAACTCAAGACCACAAGAGAAAAAGGCTTTTTTGGTAAAGGATATGACAAACATAACTTTACAACAACAACCAAAAAATGTGTGTATGGTTACAGTGATGGTTAAGGTTGTGTATCAACTTGGCTGGGCCATGATTCTCAGCAGTTAGGCAGTTATGATGTAGTCTGGCAGTTATGTAATGATGTAATCGCCTCCATGATGAGATCTGTTATAAGGTAATCTCCTCCACGATGAGATCTGCTATGAGCAGCCAATCAGTTGAAAGGGAGTTTCCTTGGGGGTATGGCCTGCATCTAATATATACAGACTTTCTGGCAAAGCTCACTTGCTTTTGCTCTGCTCTGGATCCTGCATTTAGCTCGTCACCACCTAAACTCCAGTTCTTGGGACTTGAGCCATCAGCCTGCCATCTTACCTGCCAACCTTGGACTCATCAGCCTCCACAGACCATGAGCCAGCAGCCTGCCATCTGACCTGCCGATCTTGAGTTCATCAGCCTCTGCAGCTATGTGAGTCAAGAGAAGCCTCCAGCCTGATGCCTGATCCATGGACTTTCCGGCCTCTACAACCCCACGAGCCATTTCCTTGATATAAATCTCTCTCTCTCTCTCTCTCTCTATATATATATATATGTGTGTGTGTGTGTGTACATATATACATATATACACAAAATGCCTCACTGGTTTTGCTTCTCCAGAGAACACAGCCTAAGACAATTACATAAGTATATAAATATGCACACGTGTATGTATGTGTGTGTACATATGTGAGCATATAGAGCCATATCTGTATGTATGTGTACATACATGTATGTGTGTGTATGCAAATATATTCACGTATATAATAAGCCACATCAAGGGCTCAGTTACAAATACTTCTTAGACATAACCAAACACCTCACAGGATTAGTTTTCTGGGTTTGAAGGCTTAGGACCATAGTCTCGTGGGACAACTCAGTCAACCAGCATAATATAATTCACTGGCATAATATAATTCACATCCTAGTTTGGTGAGTATTGCTGGGGTCTTAAAAGCTTGCAAACGGCCATCTATGATACAACTATTGGTCTCTATTCATCTGGAGCAAAAGAGAAAGAATGAAACCAAAGACTCAGGAAAGAAACTAGTCTACAGGACTAACAGTCTACATGAACCACAGCCTCATCTATCCTGAGATCAGAAGAACTAGATGGTGCCCAGCTACCACTACTGACTGTTCTGATCAGGGCCACAATAGATGGATCCTGAAAGAATGGAGAAAAATGCAGAACAGAACTCAAATTCTTAAAAAGTCCAGACTTACTAGACTGAGACTCAGAAGACTCCCCGAGACTATCGCCCTGATATACTCTAAACTATGAACCAAAACTATCCTGAGGTCACCTTTCAACTAAATAATAGACTGGCTCATAAAATAAATCACCCATGAATACTGTGCTCCTTTAAAAAATTATCTGTATGAGACCAAATGGTCAACTATTACTCTAAAGCAAAGATGACAAGTTAAGGAAAACTAAAATGCAGGAAACAGAACAACCAGAACAGAATTAATGAGAATGTTGACACATTGTGAAAAATGTAAACAATGTCACTGAACAATTTGTGTAGAAATTGTTAAATGGGAACCTAATTTGCTGTGTAAACTTTCACCGAAAAGACAATAAAATATTATTAAAAAAATAAAAAGAACTCAAGACCAGCTTTAGATGTAGAGAAGTTGGAGTTTATTTAGCACAATCATGAAAGTTTAGCAAAAAATCAGTCAGAGACAAGAACAAATACAGAACTCCAATTTCAGACTTGCTATGCCAAAGAGGTACAAGAGTGGTTTTTAACTTGATAAAATTAAAATGGAACCTTATACACTTAGCTTAATTCCTCCAAGGCCTACTGCAAATTTTCTTTCTTAGTCTTTTCTGGTCATACTATTACTACCTTGGCATCTGTTAGTCAATCTCCCAATTGCCTTAATCTATAAATCATCTTGACAGGTGTTTGAAAGACATGGATCCTTGACATACTTTGCATCCCTTCATGACACCAAGCGTAACTGCGTGCTCAGAGAAAGCACTTAATGCTTGCAAACATTTACTGAGCACCCACTATGTGTCAGACATTGTTAAGCATTAGAATAAATATTTATTGACCAAATGTGCCCCTGTCCTTTAATCCAATTACCCCCTACTTAGCACACTTTTGTCTGTATTATTCTGCTCCTGGATGACACAACAGCACATCAAAACGCAGAGCACCCAGGACTGGGAATCCTACTGGCCTGGGCTCTATGGTTTCAGTTCTGCCACTAAATCACTTAAGCAAACTGCTTAATCTCTTAAGGTCTCAGTTTTTTTTCACCTAATGAAGTTAGATGATTTATAATATTTCTTCATGCATACGATTATTAAATAATACTGATTAATTTATAATATCCTCTCCTATCCCTCCATCAAAATTCCCAATTCCCACCCACTTTCCCAGATGTAGGCTGATTTGTAACCGTACTTGTGTGAATAAGAATAAGCCTAGTCCAGCAGCAAGAGCTACTGGGATTTTAAAAGAAGATCCAAAACACCTAAAGGCATCACCATGTGGTATCAACAACTTCTCAGAGAGTTACTGCCTAATTCCCTAAGGCGAGGGATATACAAACCCAGATGAAGATAGAATTACAGGACAGATGAGAAGCATTCCGGGGTGAGGCAACAACTGAATGCTCTAGATAAGGTCTTTCCCAAAAATGTCCCCTCAAATTTTGTAATTACATTTGAAATCTGTACATCTAGTTCTAAAGAAGATTATATGCACAATGGCACCGGTCCATCAATTTTGGATAGATGTTACTATTTGAGCACTGGCAACTATGTACCAGTGTGCAGCTCAGCTATTCAGTGTTTTGGATACACAACCCAGTAAATTACAGTTTTGCAAAATGCTGTAAGGGCCAAGAGTAACACAAAAAGCAAAGTTTTGCCGCTACTTTTTCTACCTTAAATAAGAAATATTTGAAGAGGAATCAAAGGTTAAGTCTTTCCAGATAGTTCCATGAGGACAAGATCTGCATCTTATTATAAATCCCTCTGTATCACCAGAAACACAGAACACAGAAGTTCAACAAATACTTGCTGAATTGATGTATAATCTTTATTTCATTATTCCCTATTTATTTTCAAAGTACCACTTTATTATTTTATATTTGAATTTCTATTTTAGGAATGTGAGTGGTTTTACTTCTATCTCACAATGCACTACAACGCATTAAAACAAGATTATAAAATCTATCATTCTCGGCTGGGCAAAATTATCAGCCTGATGTATGCCAAGCCCTATTCACCATCATTTATATAACTGAGAGGCTCCACATCAAAAACTAGGGAACTGATGGGACTCACTGGGGGGAGCCTTGGAGATTCCACTGCACATTAGCCACCTAAAATAATTACCCAGTCCTTTAGTTTTAAACATGAAAGAACAACAAAGAACCACCAGACAAATAAGAATAAGAAAATCCTAGGATCTATGGAAACATAATTCAGGAAGCAAGATGATTTTTTCTCTCACACAAGAACTTAAGAGGGTTCTCTCCCACACACTTCCTGACATAGTAACAAAAGAAGGGAGAAAACAGGACAGCATAAGATTCAAGAAATAGTGGCTCTACCCCAGGGCTGCAATAAACAGAAGTCCAGGATGA